AGTGGGAGAACTGGGGGTCAGGACTCCTGGTCTGAAGGAGGAGAGGCGAGAGTCCCCCACCAGACTCCTAGTGTGAAGTAGGAGAGGGTTGGGGGCTTTCGGTAAAAAGGTCTGGGGGCCTTCCTGAGACCCAGGGAGGAGGGATCCGTAAGTGGGGGGCGGTCTAAAGAGGTGGGGGTTTCAGAGTGTGCACCCTGAGAGAGGAGGGGGAAGAAGCCTAGTGGGGTGAGTCTGGGGGAGGAGGGCCCCGAGACCCCAGGTGCAGGAAGCAGCGGCGGGGCGCGGGGTGTGTGTGTGTCTGTGTGTTTGTGTGTGTGGTGTCTCATGCTCCGGGGTCCTGTGGGCAGAGGGCTGGCTGCGGTGGGAGGCGGGCGGGCCTCGGGGCACCCCTGTGGGTGCTGACCTCGGCGTTTCGCCTCTTCCAGGGGCATTGGAAAACAGGGCCTGCAGTGCCAAGGTAAGCTCCGGGACCCTCGGAGGGTGGAGGCTTGCCCACCCCCAGCTGAGGCAGCTCTGGGCACACGTGTTCCCCGGTCCCCAGAGAGGCGTGGGGGAGCCTGGGCGGGGGGTGTGGCCGAGACACAGCCAGGGTGGGGAGGGAAGCTTCAGTGGCGGGGCCACAGGCGGAGGTGGTGCCAGGGCCCTCCCTTGGCCGGCTCCAGGTGGGGACAGATATTTGGAGAATCTGTTGCCATGGGAACGGAATTTTTTTTGAAAGGGGGAGGGGGGAGGCCTGGAGATGCAGAGTCAGAGCCCCCCCCCCCACTTCCGTCTCCATAGCAACCCGAGCCAACCTAGGCAGGGGCAAGCTGGGTGGGGTCAGCGATGGGAGGGTGGGGGTCCCCCAGGCTGGGACTGGTAGGGATGGGGGGCGGGAAAGGGGAGGCGAGTCCTACAGCACCAGCTGCCACTGCTGAGAACAGAGTGAGTCAGGGAGGGGGGCGGCCAGCAGCGGGCGCCCCCAGACTCACTTGTGCCCAAGTTGCTGTTGTCTCTGAACCGAGCCTAGCCGGGTCTGTCCGCTGGTCTGGGCTCTCTCTGTCCTCTGGGGGTGTGTACCTGTGGGGTCTGCGCTCCAGGCCCCTCACACGGTTCTGGGGTCTGTGTGCCTGCCTGTCTCTAAGTCCATCGCCCAGGGTGTTTGTGGGTCTCTGTCTGTGTGTTTCTCTATATGTCTGGATTTCTCCTCTAATTCTCCCCTTACCCCCTACACCCTCTCTCTTGATGTCTCCCACTCTCTGTCTCCCTCTGTCTCTCTCTGTGTGGGGGTCCCACTCTGTTGAGGTCTCATTGTGTGTGTGTGTGTGTGTGTGTGTGTGTGTGTGTTGGGGGTGTTTCTCTCTCTCTGTACTGGATTTACTGAGGCCTCTCTCTGGCTTTCTGTGTGTGGGTTCTCTCTCTGAGTTGGGTCTCTGTGGGTTAGAGTCTGTCTCTCTGTGTTGGGGTCTTTCTCTGACTTTTTGTGTTGGGGTCTCTGTCTCTCTGTGTCTCTCTATATGGGTCTCTTTCTGGCTCTCTGAGTTGGAGTCTCTCTATGCTGGGGTCTATATCTGTCTCTCTGCACCTCTTTTATGTTGGGGTCTCTGTCTCTGTTTTGGGGGTCCCTGTCTCTGTGTTGAAATTCCTTTCTGTGTTGGGGTTTCTGGTGGGATCTCTCTGTCTTGGGGTCTCTCAGTTGAAGTCTCTCTGGCTGTATTCTCAGTGTTGGGGTTTCACTCTCTATCTCTGTGTGTTGGAGGTCTGTGTTGAAATCTCTCTGGCTCTATATGTTGGGGCCTCTGGCTCTGTGTTGGGGTATCACTCTGTCTCTGTGTTGGGGTCTCTCTGCACTCACCCGGGCCTCTGGCTCTGGCTCTGTGACTCTTCCCTGCAGTCTGCAGCTTTGTGGTCCACCGGCGATGCCACGAATTTGTGACCTTCGAGTGTCCAGGCGCTGGGAAGGGCCCCCAGACGGACGTGAGTGCCCAGACACCTGGTTCCTACTCCGCCGGCCGCACCCCGCCCTCACCCCCTCGGCGTCCGTCCCAATTTCTCCTTCTATTTTTAAGGCTGGGAGGGGAGGGGGGCTGGAGAGATAGGGGAGCTTGCCTGGCCCAGATTTCCTGCCCTTGGCCTGGAAAGGGGAAACAGAGTGGGCGCTGAGGCAGTCTGGGGACACAGGTGGGAGACACAGACAGGGCATTGGTGGAGGTTGGCTGGTACTCTGAAAACACAGACGGAGAGAGGTGTGGAGAGAGAGATGCTGATGAGAGATTAGATGGAGGAGCCAGCTGGTCCAGATCCAGGAGCTAGAGTGGGTGACAGAGACCTGGAGAGTGGGCTTGAAGGGGCAATATGTCCATCTCAGGGGAAGGGGGGAGCCTGGAGCTAGAAGGGCTGAGGGAGACAGATTTCTGGGTCCTGACAGAAGAGGGATGTGGAAGGTGGTTTAGGGGATACTGACAAAGGGGGGATTCCAGAGAGATCCTGCAGTACATGTGTACACATATACGTGTACCTGCAGAGACCCCTCTACTTGGAAGCACACACATACGTGTACCTGTAGGGACCCCTTCTTACAAGCACACACATACATACCTGCAGGAATGACCTCAAGGACACACACACACACACACACACACAGTCTCTTCAGAGGTGCACCAGTGACTTTCAAGAATAATCACCCTTGATACCCATCCAAGGAGTCCTGCTGGCATAGTCTGTTCCTGCAAACCGCAAGGTCAGCTGTTCAAACCCACCAGCTGCTCCAAGGGAGAAAGATGAGGCTTTCTATTTCTGTAAGGAGTTACAGTCTCAGAAACCCACAGGGGCAGTTCCACCCTGTCCTTTATGGTCACTGTGAGTGGGCATCGACTCGGTGGCAGGGCGTTTGCATGGTTTTTGGGAGCTCCATCCCATTTCCCGCTGCCCCTTTCTGAGTGGTCCTTAGCAAACTCCTCTCTAAGCCTGTGTCCAGCCCTGTCCCATGGGGCTGCTGGTCCAGTGCTGCCCGACAGACAGAGAAACCACCAGGAATGGCCTCTGTTGGCCCTGTCGCTTAGAGAGAGGCAGGCAGAGGGAAAGACAGGGGCAGGGCTTCGAGAAGGAGGGGAGAGACAGAGAAAAGGAAGGAGAGAAAGAGAGACAGGGGCAGAGAAGCAGGAGAGAGAGAGATGCAGGAGAGAGACAGAAAGAAAAGGAAGGAAAGAAAGAGAGACAGGGAAAGACAGACAGAAAGAGAGGGAGAGAGACGCAGAGAAGTCGACCCACAAAAGTCGGTGAGGCGTCCTGCTCCCTAGGCAGAGGAGAAAACGAGGCTTGCAGAGGCTGTCCACCGCAGAGGGACCACCTGCCCAGAGCGCCTCTGACATTCCTGACTGCCTCACTGCGGCCCTGGCCACCGGCTTCCCCTGCACCCCTGGGGCTGTGCTGAGGTGCTGAGGAACAGCCCCCGCCCCCACCCTCATGGGTATTCTAAGCTGCCATCTTTTTACGGGGGAGGGCTGGGGACTGCGGAGCAGAGCCGCGTGTTAGGCTCGTGGCCACCGACTGGAAGGCCGGCGATTCAAATCCACCAGCCGCTCCTTGGAAGAACGTAGGGATTGACCACCTGAGAAACCCACAGGGGGCCGCTCCACTCTGCCCACTAGGGTCACTGTGACTCAGAACCAATTGGAGGGCCACAGATAACCACTAAGAGAGCAGCCCTCCCACCCCCCAGATCTCCCCGGGACCCCCACGTATGAGTCCTGATTAGCCGCGGGTGCTTAACCCCTGTGCTACTAGGGCTCCACCATCAGCCAGATGCTCACCGCAGTTATCTGAGATGCAGCATAAGGCGGAATCTGCTCCCCACCTCATACGGTTACAACCAGACCCAACTCAGACTCTGGAGCTCCAGCGTGGCTTCAAGAGCTGGATTTATTTCTTTTCATTTGTCAGAAGGGAGACTCTGGGGGCTTGAGGCTTGCCCCCAAAGCACACAGCTGGGAAGGGGAAGGACACTGATCTACATACAGGTCGGTGTGGGCATGGCAGTGGCTAATCATAACCTCACTAATAAAGCTAGCAGGAAGGCGGAACTGCCCAGTGGGGTGCAATCAGGCCCTGCTGTTCTTTCATTTTAGTCTCCCCCACTCCCTGGGGTAGAAGAGCCCTAATTCCCAACCCACTGGAGACCCAGGCACCAGGCAAAGGCTGGGGACCAGTGCAGATGCTGCGTTACGTACACAGGCTGACCCTGGATGATCTGCAATTCAGGGTGGACCTCAAGTCCTTGGAGAACTGCTTTGTGGGAACCGTGGAAGGCAGGGACTATGGGATGATGGGGGGCACGGGGGTGGGGGGGACACGCCGGTTCACAAAACACTTGTCTGGCCACATTTGGACATTTCAACCACCCATCCCTTCAGGTCCCACAGAACCTGGGAGTGGGTGAGCATTTGGCTGTGAACAGAAAGGGTGGAGATTGGAACCCGCCCAATGAGATCCACTAGGATCCACGAGCTCATAGTTCGCTCCTGGAAAGACCCCAGGGCAGTCCTGCTCTGTCACCTGGCTTCAAACCTAGAGGCTCCAGGATGCCCGGACAGTCTGCTCCGGTGATGATGGAACCCCCAAACCACACCTGACCTCACAGTGATGCTTGTAGGGCAGAGTAGAACGGCCTCGTGGAGTTTGCCAGGCTGTGCTGTTTTCAGAAGCAGCCAGCCTCCACTTCCTCCCTTGGTTGGAACCAAAAAAACCCAAGTCCACTGCCACCAAGTTGATCTTGACCCATAGCTGACCCTGGAGCCAGAATAGAACTCCCTGTGGTGTCCAAGGCTGTCAATGTTTATGGAAGCAGACTACCTCATCTTTCTCCTGAGGAGCAGCTGGTGGGTTCAAACTGCCAGACTTATGGTGTGCAGCCCTTTAACCCTCTGGTCTAGAGAGTTCGAACCCTCAGACCTTGAGGTTAGCAGCCCATAGGCAAACCCCCCAGCGTCACCAGGGTGCACCGGTGGGCGAGTGTGTGAGTGAAAGAGAACCAAGGGCTTGGAAACAGACAGACCCCTTGCACCCCTCCTCCACGCACGCGCACTGACTGCCTCTCGCACCCCACCCAGGACCCCCGAAACAAGCACAAGTTCCGCCTACACAGCTACAGCAGCCCCACCTTCTGCGACCACTGTGGCTCCCTCCTTTACGGCTTGGTTCACCAGGGCATGAAATGCTCTTGTGAGTACGAGGCAGCCACTTAATTCCAAGTCCTTTTACCCCCTCGGCGCTGGGCGTGGGGAGGTGGGCGGTTTGGGGGCCAGGCCTCGGCAGGCCACTGGCAGGGAGCGAGGCCTGTAGTTCGAAGCAGGATCCCCAATGTTCCTCCCTACCTCCCCCCTCCTCGCCCCGCAGGCTGCGAGATGAACGTCCACCGCCGCTGTGTGCGCAGCGTGCCCTCCCTGTGCGGAGTGGACCATACCGAGCGCCGTGGGCGCCTGCAGCTGGAAATCCGAGCCCCGACTTCAGATGAGATCCACGTCACCGGTGAGCTCCCCGCCTCTGCCCAGGGGAGAAACCCAGTCCCAATGCTCCGCCCCCCCCCCCCCCCACCCCCAGTCCCGGCCCTGGGGCCACTTCTGATCCCGTGGGACAGAGTAGAACTACCCTGCCCAAGTCTGTGACTCTTTTTTCCGGGACTGCCACTTCTTTCTTCCGCACCGCAGCAGCTCGTAGGATTCGAACCACCAACCTGCTGGAGGTTAGCAGCGCAGAACTTATCAGGCAGCACCAACAGAGCTCCTTTGGTGTGGGCCAGGGTGCGACCGAATTCACCTCTCCTCTCGGTAGCTGTCACTTTGCATTCAGGCGAGGATCTAGGAAAAGTTGGCGGTTCAAATCCGCCCCGGGGTGCTGCAGAGAAAAGGCCTGGCAGTTCGGCTCTGTCACACGGGATTGCATGCGTGGGTGCGTGGTGGTGGTGGTGGTGGGGATGGTTTGTCTTGCTCTCGGGTCTCTTGCCTACCTGGGAAACCACGCCCCTCGCGGAGGCCACGCCCATACAATAGCCCCCACCCACCAGAAGGCCCGAGCACTGGGCCAGCCACGCCCGCTCTCGCTCGCAGCCCCGCCTCCAGCCTCTTTCCCCGCCCTCTTTTTCTTCTCTTTCCTGTCTGCTCTGCACTCACAATTCCACAGCGTTGGCGGCATTCTCTGAGGGGGTGTTTTCTGAGCTGTTCCTCCCCAAAGCGTGATCATCAAAAACACCTCCCCCACCCCACCCCACCCTAACTCCCGCCAAGGTTCCTACTGGACCTTTCTTTGACCCTCTATAGATACCTGTTCTAGGTATCCGCATTCTTGCCCAGGTGCAACGAAAGGGCCAGGTTCTAGGGAGCGGCGAGTTAAGTGGTGGTTTAAAGTCGCCAGTGCGTACACACACACATACACACGCACGCACGCACGCATGCACGCGCGCGCGCACACACACGTGAGAGAGATGAAGCGGTCCAATTCGCCCCTATAAAGATTCAAACCAAACCCACTTCAGTGGAGCTGGCCCATAGCGACCCCCTGGGGGGGTGTCCAGAGACTGTGAGTATTCACGGGAGTAGAAAGCCTGTCTTTCTCCTGAGGAGGGCCTGGTGGTTTCGAACTGCTGACGTTGAGGTTAGCAGCCTAATGCATAACCACTACCCCACTAGGGCTCCTCCCATAATTTCTCCTCTGTTTGTCTTTGATGCCTTGTGTTAGAATCCACGCGAGGGCAGTGGGGCCTTGGGGTTTTAGGATTGTAACGGGCTTGGATTTCCTGTAATATGGGCAGATGGAGCCTTGGGCTTGCTACCGGAAAGGGCGGTAGTTCAAACCCTCCAGCGGCTCTGTGGGAGGAAGACGAGGCTTTTGTCAAGACTGGCAGCCTGGGGCCTCTCTACTTTGTCAGGTGTTGTTAGGTAGTGTCCGTCTATCCGATTCACAGCGAACCCGTGCACAGCAGAACACAGCAGGGCCCTGTCCGGCTCCACCCTCACCATTGTTCTTAGGGTTAAACCCATTATTACAGCCACTGTCCATCCGGCTCGTTGAGAGCCTTCCTGTTTTTGGCTGCTCCTCCAATTTACCAGGCAGCATGTCTTTCCCCGGGGACCGGTTCCTCCTGACGATGTGTCCGAAGTATTCTCTTAGGGTCACTATGAGGTGGAATCAACTTCACAGGAGTGGGCTTGGTTTGAGATGGGGGGCGGGGAGCAGATGGGCAGAGAAGGCCACCCCATCCTGACCCTCGCCATCTCTCTCCTCAGTGGGCGAGGCCCGTAACCTTATTCCGATGGACCCCAATGGCCTGTCAGATCCCTACGTGAAACTAAAGCTCATCCCGGACCCTCGGAACCTGACCAAGCAGAAGACCAGGACTGTGAAAGCCACGCTAAACCCTGTGTGGAACGAAACCTTCGTATTGTGAGCCCGGGGTTGGGGGAGGCAGAGGGGGTGGCGGGGAGAGAACAAGCTTGGGGTCTTGGTGGCCCACAAGATCACCTGGTGGGAGGTGTTATGACAGAGGCAATGTCAAGAGTCAGAGGAAGCAGAGCAGGGAGTGGAGGGACTAGAGAGATGGAGGGGAGAGTAAACTGTGTGAATATTTCAGCCCACCACACTGCGGCCATGCGTCTGAAATGGATGGTCCTTGCACTGGGAGGGGGGCGGTAATCACTTCCGTTGCCCTTCTCGGATAGTCCTTGCTCGCACCGGGTTGGACTGTTACCATGGCTGACTTCAGGGGGAGACTGTGCCAGGCGAGAAAGGCCCTGTGAGTTTCCGAGTGACAGTTGGCGGGAGTAGAAAGTCCTGTGTTTCTCCTGCGGAAGAAGCCGGTGGTTTTGAACTGCCGACCTTACAGGTTTAGCAGCCCAAAGCACAACCACCTAGCTATTAGGGCTCTTTCCTAAAAGGTTACAGTCTCGGAAGCCCACAGGAGCAGGTCTACCCTGTCCTATAGGGTGGCTGTGATTCAGCATGGCTGTGAGTTTACTTATTTATTTATTTAATGGAAAGCGACGCCTCGGTGGGGTCAGTGGGTCAAGTGTTAGGCCACTAACCAAAAGGTCGGTGGTTCAAACCCACCAGCTGCTCCCCGGGATGCGTCTGCAGCATCAGTTGGCAGGTGCACACTTCAGCCACTGCGCCACCAGGAAGCTTTATGTAGAGGAATATCCAGGGCCAGCGAAACAGAAGGAGGTTCAGAGCAGGACCACAGACCACAGACAGACACACGCAGATACCCAGAGACGTGTTCAGAAGTGGGATGGGGTGGAGAGAGGGTCCTAAGGAAGACGGGGTTCAGAGGAGGGAAAGGTGGGGTGCAGTGGATGTGCAGAAAGAAAGAGGTAGACGGGAGACAGCTGAAAGGACCTAAGGAGCTAGAAGAGGGACAGAGACCCAAAGAGGGAGGAAAGGGTCTTAGAAGAAGAGCCACAGACTGACAGAAAGACCCATGCAGACCGAGTGCTAGGTGGAAGGGGACAGGGTGAGAGGGAGGAGTTTGGTGAGGTATGCATGGGGAGGGAGAGGATACATGGGTGAGGATGTGGATAGGTGGGGGTAAAGATAGGTGGAGTAGTTCTAATGGGTAGGGGTAGTGGATGGCTGGGGGTAGGAGTAGGGTGGGGTAATTAGATAGGTGGGTATGAAAATTGGATAGGTGGATGGAGTAGTTAGATATAGGTCAGTGGGGTAGTTGGATGGATGGGGGTAGTGGATAGGAGTGGGGTGTAAATAGTGTGAGGTAATTGGATAGGTGGGTATGAAAGTTGGATATGGTGGGTGGAGTAGTTGGATAGGTCAAATGGGGATAGTTGGATGGATGGGGGTAGTGGCTAGGGTGGGGTATGGATAAGGATGTAGGTTAATTGAATTAGTGGATGGGGTAGTTGGTTGGGTGGAGGTCGTGAAGGGGTTGGGTATGGATAGATAATATGTGGGGTAATTATATAGGTGAGGGAAGTGATTGGTTGGGGATGCGGGTGAGTGGGAGAGTGAATGGTTGGGGAAGTAGATAGGTGGTTGGATGGGTGGGAGTGTTTGTGGGTGGGGGCATGAGTGGCAAGGAGGGGAGAAGAGAGAAAAGGACACACACACGTACACAGCACAGAGTAAAAGAGAGAGTCCTGGAGACAGGTGGGAGGAGTGGACCAAGACTCTCTGAGAGAGCCCAGAGTAACTGTTGGTATTTATAAGATGCCCAGAGGGTGAAAGAAAGGAGTCCTGGGGTGCAGTGGGTGATGTGTTGGGCTGCAAACCACAAAGTCAGCCGTTCAAACCCACCAGCCGCTCAGCAGATGAGATGAAGCTTTCTACTCTCTTTAAGAGTTGTCGTCTCAAACACCCACAGGGGTCACTTCTACTCTGTCCTTTAGGATCTCCATGAGTTACACTCCACTCGATGGCAATGATTTTGAATTTGAGATTGAGATCGAATTCGTTTGAGATTGAGATAGTTTGAGATTGCGATTGAGATCGTTTGAGATTGAGTTGAGATTGAGATTGAGATAGTTTGAGATTGAGTTTGACTTTGAGTTTGACATTGAGTGGAGATGGAGATGGAGTTAGTTTGAGTTGAGTTTGCGATTGAGGCTGAGTTAGAGTTCGAGCAGGAAAGGGACCCCCTTCAGAAGAAACCAAGATAGAAGAGTGCTTCACAGAACAAATAACAGAGGCTTGAGGACCCCAGCTCACCCACCGGGTGATTCCCCAAGATGAAGAAGGGTTGGGGAGCCAAGACCACTGCCTCTCACTGCACCCCACATCCCTGCAGCAACCTGAAGCCGGGTGACGTGGAGCGCCGGCTCAGTGTGGAGGTGTGGGACTGGGATCGGACTTCCCGCAACGACTTCATGGGGGCCATGTCCTTCGGGGTGTCGGAGCTACTCAAGGCGCCTGTGGACGGCTGGTGAGGAGGGGCCGGCCGGGGCCTCAGCGTGTCCCTCTGTCGATCCTTCTTCAAGCCCTCCCCCTCCCCCTCCTCCCTTTCCCCCTCCTCTGATTTCCCTATCCTCCTCCCTCTCCCACCTGCCTCCTCCGCTTGTGTGGTTATTCACCTTCTTCTCCCTGCTACAACTCCTCCATCTTCCTCCTCCTCATCTCCCTTTTTTCTTCATCTCCTCCTCCTCTTCCTCCCCCTATTCTCTCCTCCTATTCTTCTCCTCCCCCTCCTCATGCATTCTGCCTCTCCTTCTACTCCCCCTTCTACTCCTCCTCCACCTTCTCCTCATTCTCCTCTCCTCTCCCCCTTGTGTTAGGCTGAGGTGACTAGAGAAACAAATCCAGGAAGACTCCTATGTGGATAAGAAGGAGCTTTCTATCAAAGAGTCATTGTATATTGAGAAAACATCCCAGCCCAGTCCAGATTAAGTCCATGTGTCCAATACAAGTCCATACATTCCTCTTTAGACTCACGCAACACATGCAATGATGCCGAATGCAGGGAGATCACAGGCCGGTGTGTGCAAAGTCTTGTGGATCCAATGGTGGTGCAAGCATCTCAATGCTGGTGGCAGGTCTCCTTGGTTTTCCTCCAGCTCTCTGGGTATCTCCACAGCAGGAAAGGGAAGGCAGGGAGAATGTGTGTCCCACCTCCAGGGAGGAAGACAGGAGTTCCCAGAATCCTCAGGAGAAGGCCACGCCCACACAGAGGCCTCATTGGTTATGACCTGATTGACAGGCTAGACTCCACCCCTTCGCTCAAGTTGACAGGAGATTATGTCACTGCCATACTCCTCCTCCTCATTGTCTCTTCCTTCTCTCCTCCTCCCCCTCCTCATCTCTCTGGGTTTCTTTCTCCTCCTTTCTTCTGGTTCTTCTTCTTTCTCTCTCTCACCTGATCTCACCCTTCCGCTCCCTCCATCCCTGCAACTCCATCCCTCTCCCTCCCCTCTTCTCTTTCTCTCCCTCTTATGCTTCCTCGCCTCTCCCTCCCCTCCTCTTACCTCAGTCTTTCTCTCTTTCTGTCTCTGTGTCTGTCTCTCTTCCTCCTTTCGGATGTTGTCTCTGCCTGTCCCATGGGTGGCCCCGTCTCCCCGGCCCCCCGCCCTGTCCTGGTCTCCGTCTGCATGTTAGGTACAAGTTACTGAACCAGGAGGAGGGCGAGTATTACAATGTGCCGGTGGCTGATGCTGACAACTGCAGCCTCCTCCAGAAGTTTGAGGTACCCAGACCCTGGCTTCCCCAGGGGCGCCTAACACAGCCCTCAAAAGCTCAGGGCTGGTCCCTCCCAACACACAGTGGTACCCACTATCCCTGGGACTACAATTCCCAAGAGGCCTTGGGCATCCCTTCTCTATTTTTCTAGGGAGCTCTGGCCCCAGGGCTTGATGGGAATTGTAGTTCTTGTTTATCTCCATCACTGGGGGCGGGGTGTAGTGTGGGCCCCTCTTCCTTCCTCTCTCAGGGCCCTGACTCTGTCGTTCTTCTCTCCCAGGCCTGTAACTACCCGCTGGAACTCTATGAGGTGAGTAGAATAAGATGTTGAAAGAGGCATTTTCATTCTGGTGGTCTCTTCTCTTCTCCACCCCCCATCCTCCACCCTTTCATGTCTGCCTTCAATTCCAAGCACGTTGGTTCCTCTTACACTTTGTTCCAGGTTTCCCACTTGCTGACCAAGCCTAGGGATTCGGGGGTGAATCCAACCCTATCCCTACCCTCAAGAGTAGGACAGCATGGATGCTTAAAACAGAGGGGGTGAGATGAAGTCTAGATAGCTCAAGACACACGTGGCTCACCATGGGTTGGGCCGGGCTCTGGCTGTGGTTCGGGTGTGGGACACTGGACAAACATGGTGAGGCCATTAACTCAGCTGCAGGAAAGGTGGTCAGCGGAGGCTTTCTCAGATGCTCGATTTGATCATGGCGGCCTTTCTCTCCTCTATTCACCTTTCACTGGTTTTTTTAATAACAGTTTTATTGGCACTTCATCCGCATGTCATACAATTCAATCATCCGGTCATAGCAAGAGGAGTCGTACAATTGTCACCGCAGTCCATTCGCGAACACGTTCTTCTTCCTTGTCCTCATGGTTGTTCATGTGATCGTTACTCTTCTTCATGATGGCCAAACTACGCCACCGCAGAACATTCTCCACTTCAACACCTTCCACATGTATCACTCAGTGCCGAGGCGCATGCGCTTCGTCTTCTCCAACCACGATTGACATGCTTTTCCAAGTGATCCCACCACCATTAACATACCCTCCGTGCCCCTAAGCAACAGTGTTCCTCCTTCACCCACGGTAAGTAGCCATTGGTCAAGTTGGGTTTCCTTTTTTTTTTTTTTAAGTAGTTTTCTTGATAACAATATTCACCTATCATCCACTTCCTTAGTTACCTCGCTTAAAAACAAACAGAGTTGTAGATTCATCATCACGATCGGTTCTGACGCTCCCTCTCCCCACCCCCCACTCTTAACTTTTTAGATTGTGGTTTGGGTGAACGTTTACAAAGCAAATCGGTTTTCAACTCGATGCTCCATACACACTCTGTCTCACGTCCTGGGTTGCCAATGTGACCATCACTCACCCCAAGTCCTCCTTGTGTGTCTCCTTCTTGTTCCTTCTATTCCCTCCTACCTCGCCACCCCCACTCCCACCTTCTGAACTTAGTCTCTTGGCTAGAGCTGCACCTTTGATCTCTAGGGTTTGTTGTTCTAAGGAACAGGTACTTCCTGGTGCTACTGTTCTCCTTAGAGACCTGGCTGAAAGTCAAATCAGGAGGTGGAGTTTAGTGCCAGGCTTCAAGGATGTCTAAGGGCCATGGCTTGTGGGTTCCACCCACCGATGCACCTCATGATTTTGAATTTTGCTTCACTTGCTTTCTCCCGCTTGATCTTTGGTGGTCCCTTTCAGCCCTCGTGGCGCAGTGGGCTACTCGCTGGTGGGGGAACCACAAGGTCAGCAGTTCAAATCTACCAACTGCCCCATAAGAGAAAGATGGGGTAGTCTGCTCTCCGCTCCAGCCCAGAGTTACAGCCTCCTCGGAAACTCACAGGGCGGACGTACAGGGGATCTGTGAGTTGGCATCAACTCAATTGCAGCGAGTTCAGTTTGGTTTTCAAAGAGGTGGGTAGCAAGCACTAGGCACCAACTAGTTTTCTGGTCTTAGGGTCTTGAAGCCTGGAATTCGTGTGGTCCCTTTGTCCTTTGGTGGCTTTCTTCCATTCCTTGTGAGGATGGCCTAGGACCAGGCAGTGACTCATTCTGCTGTGCACAGGGTTACCATAGGTCAGAACTGACTTGATGGCCCCTAACAACAACAACAACAACAACAGCAGCAGCAGCAGCAAGTATCTTTGATGGTCATCATTCTTCTTTGCTCCAGATGGAGAGGGGCCACCGGTTCCACCTGCGATGTCCACCCACAAGACTTTTCTTTTTAAAACCTTAAAATAGTTGTTATCATGTTTTTATTAACAAAATCATACCGTACTTTTTACTCAAAACATCTTTCCTCATTTTTAATCATTTTATCGGGGGCTTGTATAACTCTTATCACAATCCATACATACATCCATTGTATCAAGCACATTTGTACATTTGTTGCCCTCATCATTTTCGGAACATTTTCTTTCTACTTGAGCCCTTGGTATCAGCTCCTCATTTTTACCCCTCTCCCCACCCTCCCTCCCTCACGAACCGTTGATAATTTGTAAATTATTTTTCATGTCTTACATCAACCACTGTCTCCCTTCCCCCATGTTTCTGTTCGTCCCCCTGGGGGTGGGTGTACATTGATCATTGTGATCAGTTCCCCCTTTCTCCCCCCACCTTCCCTTTCTCCTCCTGGTATTGCTATTCTCATTATTGGTCCTGAGGGGTTTATCTGTCCTGAATTTCCTGTGTTGTGAGCTCTTATCGGTACCCATAGACATGCTTGGGTCTAGCCAGATTTGTAAGGTAGAATTGGGATCATGATAGTTGGGGAGGGATGAAGCATTAAAGAACTAGAGGAAAGTTGTATGTTTCATTGGTGCTATACTGCACCCTGACTGGCTCGTCTCCTCCTTGTGACCCCTCTGTAAGGGATGTCCAATTGTCTACAGATGGGCTTTGGGTCTCCACTCCGTCCTTCCCCTGATTCACATCGATATGATTGATTGTTCTGGGTCTTTGAGGCCCAATACCTGATCCCACCAACACCTCGTGATCACACAGGCTGGTGTGCTTCTTCCTTGTGGGCTTTTCTTCTTCTCAGCTAGATGGCTGCTTGTTTATCTTCAAGCCTTTAAGATCCCAGTCTCTCCTCACCCAAGTAGGAGCGAGAACATGGACACGTTGTGGATTATGCTATGCAAGTTGAACTTGGTGCCCCCACCACCCCCCCACCTCCCAAGATGATGGCCCAGCGCTCTCAGCGGTCCACTCTCTCATTAAACACCTATTTCCTGAGGTGTTGGCCGAGCAGAGCCCTGCTGTGGGTGATACCTTGAGTCATCGGAGACAGTTGGGGTGGGGGTGGGGGGAGCTCCTTTTGTGGAGGAGAGAGTGACAGAAGATGATGTTCACACCAGGAAGAAATGTGTTTGATCACAGAGACAGCCTTGGGCACCAGGGAGTCCCGGCACCACCTGAGAGTCAGAGAGAGCTTCCTGAAAGTTGATTGCAGGGTTTCCCGAGAAAGAGAAAGACACAAAACTACCCACACTGCCTCATCGAAAATGGAAGTACATGCCACCAAGCGGGTTCCAATTGGGGAACCCGACAGGGCACTGTAGGAACTGCCCCCCACCCTGTGAGCTTCAGGGGCTGTAGATCTTTACAGGAGCAGAAAGCCTGGTGGAGCACTTGAACCACTGATGTTGTGGTTAGCAGCCTAATGCCTAATCCACTACGCCACCCGGCCCCCTGGACACTGCCTTCTCAAGACTCTGTACGACAGAGTAGAGCTGCCCCATGGGGCTTCTGAAGCCATGACTCCTTATGGAAGCCAACTGCTTCACCTTTATCCCCTGGAGCGGCTGGTGGGTTCAAACAACCGACCTTTCTGTTAGCCACTGAGCACGTTGACCATGGGGCCCCCCGGGCTCTAGGTAAAGAGAAGAGACCAGAGTCCCATGCTTTCTTCCAGACGGGTCAGAGGAAACCAGCCTCCAACAACCGAAGGGCCAGTGGGCACAATTGTACGGCGATGATATATAACGATGATAGTAAAGTCAAAGAGGATAGGAGAGAGAGTAGAGTAAAGGAGTCAGACACATTGTATGGTCGCATGCTCAACTCAGGAGTCAGACACATTGTATGGTCGCATGCTCAACTCAGCTTCTCCTGATGGACCACGTGGAACTGGGAAAAGCGAGAGTATCTTTGCTATCTCGGGACATTTATAGGTAGCCATAGGACATGCATCTTCAGTAGTGACATGCATCACGAGGTGGGTGGTATCTACATTAAGGTCCCTGAGCTCACAGGTGAGGAACCTAATACCTGCATTGGGGGGAGGTACAAGGGGGGCGGGGGTGGGGGTGGGATTGGGTGTCACAGCGGGAAGAGGGAGCACAAGGATCATGGTTGCTTCCGTAGGGAGATATAATCAAGCGTGTGCTCACTTTAAGGCCGCATAGCGGCTCAGGGGAGAATCTGTGGGAATGATATTTAAAGCAGGATCATGTACCTGGACTTTATCTCTAACTTATCAACGTGGAGGCTTACCTACCGTGGAATACCAGCTTTCCAGATGCCCTCTGTTATAAGTTAAGGGATATAGCCCTCGTCCTGTTTCCCTCCGTGTTAGTTTCCCACACAGACTCATCGTTTTTTGTGTGTGTGGTTGATTTTACTTTTGTGTCTCCCGACATCGTGCCCTGAACCCCCAGGCTCCGTGACTCACTCCCTCAAGGTGTTTGGTTATGTCTAAGAAGTGTTCATCATTTTGCCTCCTGTGTGCCCCACCACACTCAGGGATCTGCTTGCAGCAAAGGGAAATACCCAGGTACAAATAGGCACCATCAAACCTATTTATATTCATAGGTGCACTCCCACGCTCCCTCCCACACCTGCTCACCCTGCCTGTCTCTCCAGGCAGCTAGTGGTGGATCACCCTGTGAAGCAGCATTCACCTCCACCTCTCTTGTCTTTAACTTTTGTCCTCCTCCAGGGAGGATGTCTCTGCTTCTGTTGCTTAGGGCTGACCCCTCCCCTCCTACTGTCTGCCCCCATCTCCTTCACCCAAGGAGGCCCAAGGTAAGCAGGTCAGACTTGTGAGAGGAGAGGTCGATCGACAGACAGGTCACATAGCAGGCCGCCGATGGCTCTCAGACAATATGGCAGGACATTGGCTGAAGTCTAAAGGCCGGAGGTCAACCAACCAGATGCATGAGCCAGAACCAGCAACCATTAAGCAAGCTTTCCACGGGGTCTATTTTTGTAAGAAAGGAGCTCTGATGGCAGAGTTAGCATTGGGCTACTAACTACAAGGTCGGTTGTTTGAATCCACCAGCCGCTCCTCAGGGGAAAAGGTGAGGTTTTCTGCTCCCTTAAAAATGTAGTAAAAAAAAAAATGTAGTAAAAATGTACAGCCTCAGAAACCCACAGGGCCAATTCTACTCTGTCCTTTAGGGTCACTGTGAGCCCCAAACACAATGAGATTCGTATAGGAAGTAGCCCACACTCCCAGGAAACCTCCTTTCAGTTGTATCAGCACTACTGATCACCTGAGTAAGGGGGCTGCACTCCACCCGCATCTTGCAATTGCTTGGCTGCTCACAGGAGTCCTGGTGTCCTAGTGGTTATGCAGTATCCAATCCTTAAGGGAAGCAGTTCAAAATCACCAGCCGCTGCTCAGGAGAGAAAGATGGGCTTTCTGCTCTGGTAGCGTTGCAGTCTCAGAAACTCGCAGGAGCAGCTCTACCCTGTCCTATAGGGTGGCTATGAGTCAGCATTGACTTCATGGCTGTGAGTCTGGTTTTGCTGTTTGTCTGTTGCTGCTCACAGCAGATCCTGTCTTGGAGTTGATTGCATGATGTTAGCTCACATCACTGGGTTGGGGAGGCCTCAATTCCCAAACTGTTGGGAATCCTGGCCCAGCCATGTCAACACAAAACCCAACTATCCCAGGGCAGGAATGTCAACAATCAACAAAGGAATTGAATTTGACATCATCAACAATAACTCAATGCTATCAAATCTATGGACTCATAGTGATCCTATAGGGCAGGGTAAAAGTGCTGTGAGTTTCCCAGACTCTCACTCTTTATAGGAGTGGAAAGCCTCATCCTTTCCCCTGAGGAGTGACTGGTGGTTTTGAACTACTGAAGGTCAGGCTAGCTCCCCAAGCTTAACCAATGCACCACCTAGGCTCCCTACAGCAAGTTAAGGGTTGGTTAGATAATACATAAAGATTACGGGGAGCCAGACAATGTTTGTAAGCAGGGAGGGGACAATTTTTCATCCTCCCATGTGTACCCCACTCCTTCATTTCACCCTTTCATTTCTGAAGGCTGGCTCTCTTGGGGCCCCCAATTTGTTTGGGGTCTGACGCCCACCTCCTGCTCTCTCGCCCCTGGTTCACAGCGGGTGCGGATGGGCCCCACGGGCTCTCCCATCCCGTCTCCATCTCCCAGTCCCACGGACTCCAAGCGCTGCTTCTTCGGCTTGAGCTCGGGCCGCCTGCACATCTCCGACTTCAGCTTCCTCATGGTTCTTGGGAAAGGCAGCTTCGGAAAGGTTAGACTCTGGGGAGGGGCGCTGGCGATGTCTGAGGGTGGGCAGAACCTTCAGGAGAAAGTGCAGGGGACGAGGGAGGACTAGGGGTTGAGTCCCTCAGGTTTCTAGGGAGGAGAGAGATGTGCAGCGGAGGAGAGGTGGTGGTATGCTTCTCCGAGAACTTGGACTCACATTGGGACGCCCACTAAGGACATAAAGGGTGGGGACCAGCAGCCTGCGCCCACCCCCACCCCACCCCCCGGTCCCCAAGGGGCTCTGGATCACCAGGTCTGAGTCCTGCAGGTGATGCTGGCGGAGCGCAGGGGCTCTGACGAGCTCTACGCCATCAAGATCCTCAAGAAGGACGTGATCGTGCAGGACGATGACGTGGACTGCACGCTGGTGGAGAAGCGCGTGCTGGCGCTGGGGGGCCGAGGCCCGGGTGGCCGACCCCACTTCCTCACTCAGCTGCACTCCACTTTCCAGACTCCGGTAAGGAGTGGCGGGTGAGGGGGTGTGAACCCTGGAGGAATTGGATGGGCCACTGGCGGTGGGACTGAGCTGAGGACAGGGTGAGAACCCTGTAAATGCTCTGGTGGGCAGCTTGGGGAGACAGATGGGACCTGGTGGGCGTGGCCAGGCAAGTGGGTCCCTTAGTGGCCGTGGCCAGGAGGGTCCGTGCTGGATCTGACAGACTGGGACTGAGTGGGCATGGCCAGGTGGATGGGTCCTGAGTGGATGTGGCCGAGGCGGGGGCTGAGTGGGCGTGGCCAAGTGGCTGGCTCGTGAGTGGGCATGGCTAAGACAGGTGGGTCATGAGTGGGCGTGACCAGATAGATGGATGAATGGGCGTGGCCAGCTGAATGAGGCCTATGGCCATAACCAGGCACTTGAGTCCTGAGTGGGCGTGGTCAGGTGGATAGGCCCCAGAGGAGGCATCGCTGCATAAGGTGTAGCTCTATTCGGGTTCCTTCACATGTTAGTACTCAGACCAAAGCTAGCCCACCACAGTGGAGCTCACTCCCGCTCACATCAACAGAGTAGACCTGCCCCTTGTGGTTTCTGAGCCTGTCAATATTTACAGGAGCACCGCCACCGGCACTCTTTCTGCCACAGAGTGGCCCCGTGGGCTTGAACCACCGACCTTTGCGTGGCCAGAATTGCATATATATGTGCAGTAGCGATTACAGTGTCTCTAATTCTGTACAGGTGGTAGGCCGCGATCTTCAGTTCTGAGAGGGCAGGGCCCAAACCCTGATAGTTGGGAGTGACTGGTGATTGGGCGAGTGGAAGTTCTTAGGGGGGTGGGGTTTGAAACTTTGGGACCTTCAGCTGGGCGTGGCCACTTACACTCACGTTCTGATTGGGTGGATGCCGAGCCTCTTACCTCTGCTTAGAGTGGGCGTGCCCTTGACGCTAACGCCCGCCCTCTTGGCCTCCAGGACCGCCTGTATTTTGTGATGGAGTACGTCACTGGGGGTGACTTGATGTATCACATCCAGCAACTGGGCAAGTTTAAGGAGCCCCATGCAGCGTGAGTCTTGGGCCAGCCTGGGAAGGAGAAGGAGGGGAACTGGGAGTGGGTGGGATCTAGTCTCTGATCTCTGGCTCCCCACCCCTCTCCAGGTTCTACGCAGCAGAAATCGCCATTGGGCTTTTCTTCCTTCACAATCAGGGCATTATCTACCGGTAAGCAACTCCAGGTCTCTCAAGGGAGAGATACTAGGCCCCTAGTGGAGGGGAAGAAAGGCCTGGCTATTTTCTTTCCCAAAAAAGCTGCCGTTGAAAACCCTATGACCTCATCTGCCCTGAGATCAGAAGCACTAGATGGTGCCAGACTGTTCTTGATCATTGCCGCAATAGATGAACTCTGATAGGATGGGCTAGTGGAGACTGGAGAACTCGCAGAGACCATCACCCTGAGATACTCTTAAAGCCTTTAACCAAAGCACTCCCTTGAGGTCACCCGCCTTTTTATGAAATTTACAGATCAGCTCACAGAATAAGGAATGTGATCTGAGAGTAGGGTGCTCCGGTTAAAAGAAAAAGAAAACCTATATGAATGAGACCCATGGTCGACCATACCCGGAAGCAAAGATGAGAAGGAAAGAGGGCAGGGAAACTAGAGGACCAGAAATGGAACAGCCAGAACACAGCGAAAGAGAATATTCTAGAAAGTGTAACTAGTGTCCCTGAACATTGGATACTTATGAGCCCTGGTGGTGATTGTTGAGTAAGTGTTGGGCTGTTGGAGCTGAGTCACTGGTCTTGCAGTTAGCAACCCAGTTCCCGCCCTGCCTGCTGCTCTGCAGGAGAAAAATGAGATTATCTGCTCCCTTAAAGATTTACAGTCTCTAAAAAAAAATAGAGAGTCAGATAAACCCTATAGAGGGTCACTATGAGCTGGAATTGACTCAATGGCAGTAGGAGCTACCTACCTACCGCCCTTGAGTGGATTCAAACTCATAGCGACCCTCTAGAGCAGAGTAGCACTGCCAATAGAGTTTCTGAGGCTGTCATCTATTGGAAACAGGTGTGCATGTCTTTTTGTCCAAGTGGCTGGTGGGTTTAAACCAATGACCTTGGGGTTAGCAGCTACAGTTAAGCTGCTAGACGCTTAACTCACTGCAGCATCAGGGTTCCTTTGTACAGACATTGGCAAATGGGACCCTGATGTGCTGTGTTAAATTTCTACGTAAGACACAATGCAATACACATCTACATACACACTCACAGTCATGGAGTCAATTCTGACTCATAGGGACCCAACAGGATAGAGTAGGATTCCAGTGGGTTTCCGAGGATATAAATCTTTACAAGAAGAGAAAGCCTCATTTGTCTCCCAAAGGGTGGCTAGGGAATTCGAACTGCTGACCTTGTGGTTGGCAGCCCAACTCATAACTCACAATGCCATAAGGGCTCCTTACTACACACACACACACACACACACACACACACACACACACCATAAGATCACCCTAAATTCACGTCAACTCAAGGGACACTGGCCCTAGCAGAGGGATGAGGGTTCCAGTAGGATGTTATTCCCGGCTGTTGACCCTTACCCCACCTCTCTCCTCACCTCCCACCCCCAGGGACCTGAAACTGGACAACGTCATGCTGGACGCGGAAGGACACATCAAAATCACTGACTTTGGCATGTGCAAAGAGAATGTCTTCCCGGGGAGCACCACCCGCACCTTCTGTGGGACCCCAGACTACATAGCCCCCGAGGTAACTGCTAACTCCTCCTCGCTGGGCTCTGGGCGAGGGTGGCCGAGTGGGTGAGTGTTCGGGATGGATGGGACCTGATTTTGGGGGTGGGGGACCTGCTAACAAGTATTGAGTGTTCTCCTGGGGTGGGGGCAGGGGGAAGGACTCAGCAGAAACATTCACCGCGTACAAAGTCCCAGGACTGAGCATTCTAGATGCAGCTGGAATCCTTAATAGCCAAGTAGGGAGAGTCTATGAGGGAAAGCTCTGAAGGAGTGGGACTAGCTCATAGGTAGGAACTCTTAAGTGCACAGCACCGATTTCTGGACTTTCTCAGGGGGTGGCGACTATTTCCAGAATCGGCTGAGTGAGCATGCCCCCCCTCCCCCACAGCCTCCCACGCCCACCCTCACCCTCTCAGAAATCCTGAGTCGCTCCTGAAAGCTATCTTCTCTAAGTACTCTAGGTGGGTGGGACTGCCTTTGCGCCTTAGGATTGAATGGAAGCAACTCCTACGAGTATTCCAGACGGACCTTCCATTTAAATGTAGTGGTCTTTAAATAAAATAAAAAATTAAAAATTTTCTTCCCCCACCCTCCCTTCCCCTCCTCTCCTTGCTGTAACCATCAAAGTCTGCTTCTTTTGGTGTGAAAAGCATTTTTTTTAATCATCAAAAATTTTTCTTTTATAATGCTGGTCCCATGCTATATTAGTCTTGATGGGTTTGATTGACTTCGCCTAGCATGATACCGTCCAGCTTGGCCCGTGTCCCGAGGCGTTGGGACCGTTGCATCATTTATTCCTGACCAAGGTTCAGTGTTCCGTCCTGGGAGACATGGTGGAGTAGTGGTTACACGCTGGGCTGCTAACTGCAAGGTCAGCAGTTGGAATCCACCAACCATTCCACCCACAAGAGAATGACGGAGCTTTCTACTCCTGAAAAGAGTTATGGTCTCAGAAACCCTTGGGGCCAGTTCTCTCCTGCCCTATGAGGTCATTATGAGTCAGCATTGAATTGTGTAGAAAGCCCCATCTTTCTCCCAAGGGGAGGCTGATGGTTTTGTTGTTGGTATTATTATTAAAAGATCATTTTATTGGGGCTCTTACAGTTCTTTTTTTTCCTATTAAGTTTTTTTAATCATTTCCTTGGGGGCTCATACAACTCTTACCACATCCATACAGACATCAATTTTGTAAAGCACATGGGGCTCTTACAGCTCTTATAACAACCCATACATCAATCGTATCAAGCATATTTGTACATAATGTTGCCATCATTATTTTCCAGACGGATACTTTTTAAGGAGCCCTTGGTATCAGCTCCTCTTTTTTCCCCTCCCTCATGACCCCCTGATGGACTATAAATTATTATTCCTCTCCTAGTTTACACCAGCCACTGCCTCCCTTCCCCCACATTGGCTGGTGGTTGGGAACTGCTGACCTTTGGGTTAGCAGCCCAACGCATAAGCACTATACTATGGCCACCAGGACCCCTTGTTGCTATTGTGGATAATGCTGCCGTACGCATGGCTCTCGCCCATTTGGGGAGGGGAAACACTCGTCTAACAAACCCTGGTGGCGCAGCGGGTTAACCGCCCTGCCACACCAGCCTCTCCTCGGGAACAAGATGTAGTGGCCGGCTTCTGGAAGACTCCACCCACCCACCACCGCGGACTACATCCCCACTCCCCTCACAGCGACCAAGCCAGTTCTGACTGGCGGAGGCGCTGCAGGACAGGGTGGAACTCCCCCAGTGGGTTTCTGAGCCTGTAAATCTCAAAGAGAGCAGAAGGTCTCATCTTTCTTCCGGAGTGGCTGGTGGTTTTGAACTGCTGACCATGTGGTAAGCAGTCCACCTTTTAACCCAGTCTAACATCAGGGCTCCTTATTTTGACTCTTAGTGGCCCCCATATATGGTTTCTGAGACTCTAAGCCAGTGGTTCTCAATCGGTGGCCCGCGACCTCTTTGGGGTGTGTGTTGAAGGACCCTTTCACAGGGGTTGCCCAATGTATCACAGTAGTAAAATGACAGTGATGAAGTAGCAATGAAAATAGTTTTATGGTTGGGGGTCACGATCACATGAGGAACTGTATTAAAGGGTCACGGCATTAGGAAGGTTGGGAACCACTGGTTTAGAGTTAACCTTTATGGGAGCAGACAGTATCTTACCCCGACCCCCACCCCTGCCCAACCCCTAGTGGCTGGAGGGTTTGAACTGCTGGGGTGTCAGCCCAGAGCCACTCAAACTCTCACTGCCTTTGAATCGATTACCTACTTATAGAGTCCCCATAGGACCAGGTAAAACAAATCCTGTGGGTTTATTTCTGACACTGTAACTCTTTGGGAGAGTAGAAAGTCCTATCTTTCTCCCGTGAAACGGCTGGTGGTTTTGAACTGTTGACCATGTGCATCGTAGCCCGATGTGTAACCACTGCACCACTAGGGCTCCTACGGAGCCACTAGGGGGCTGAAATAGGACAGCCGGGAAAACCCTATCGGGCAGCTCTACTTTGTCCTATAGGGTCACTATGAGTCAGAAGCCAGTGCATGATAATGGGTTTGATTGATTTTTTTGGTGAATGTCTAAATATTCAACAGCTCCCCCTCCAGGTGAATCTGGTGTATGTTCAGATTTCAGACTCATTGGTCTCTGAAATTTGGGCCATTACCCACGATGCTCTGAGAGAGGGCTCCCAAACCCAACCCACTGCCCTCTCGCTGATTGACTCATCGTGACCTCTGTGTAGCTCTCAAGGCTGTAAGCTCATCTTTCTCCCCAGGAGTGAGCAGTTGGTGGGTTTGAACCCTGACCTTGTGCAGCTAACCGAATATTCTAGGTGGGTGCAGGCACTTGTGCTTGGGGCCTTAGGTCATTTTTGGATTTGAGACCAACCCAAGCCCACTGCTGAGGAGTTGATTCCGACTCAGAACGACCCTATAAGACAGAGTCCAACTGACCCTTTGGGATTCCAAGACTTTAAATCTCCCCCACCCCCTGAGAGTTTTATTGGCACATAACTTACCGATCAGACAATTCAATCATTCAATCATATCAGGAAGAATTGTACAATCCTTCCTGCATCCATTTTAGAGCACCCTCTCCCCATGGTTAAATCTCCTTTAAAATGAGTTGTGCAATCACAGTCCGTTCTAGGGCTCCTTCCTTCATTATTTACTCCCTAAATCTCCTTTCCCCCCCCTAGCACCCACCTCTCACCCCTGCATCCCCTATCAACCCTGGTATCAGCTATTATCACTAGGCAGCCACTCCTGTGCTTCCCAGACTTGGAAACCCAACAGAATCAATAAAAAACCAACAGCATCAAAATGAAGCAGTAACGATCAAAGAATAATAACATGAAGACAAAAAAAAATACAAATAAGGAGTAAGAAAGAGACTTTAAATCTTTATAGGAACAGACGGCCTCATCTCTCTCCTGTGGAGAAATTGGTGGGTTCGAAGTGCTGACTTTACAGCTCAGTGGGTAACCCGCTAGGCCACCGGCGCACCGTCTGGTATTCAAAACAAGGAAGGTGTGGTTCCTGGGTGGGGTCTGGGGCTTATAGGAAGCTGGTTACTGCTGTCCGGGCAGCAGCTTGAATGAGGAAATAGGCCCGGGGACTTGCTTCCGAAACAGTGACGGGAAACCAGTAAACAACAGCATGCCTTCTCAGAGCACTTGTTCCCTGGAGCTTCTCCTCGGACATTAAAGCAACAACTCCCAACAAAACAGACAAGGTGTGCTCCCTAGCTTTTCCAAAGGGTGCTGTGCTGCCCCAAATTATCTGGAAGGTTTGTTTTAAAGACCAGCTTGGTTGGTTTGATAGAGACAGGAAGAGCCCTTGAGGTATGGGTCCTAGACAATCAGTGGCATACATCTGACTTGCACAGTTCAAACTTTTTTTTTCCTTTTATAATGGTGTTGTTCACAAAAAGAACAACTTTATTTCCAACCTGCCATGTTCCCAGCAGAGTGTCAAGCGATGCATAACAAGGATCATGATATCAAGGGTTGCAGGGTCTATCATGTGGTCATTTCTCTGCTGACACTTTCTGTGGATGAGAAATATTCCTTTGAGCCTCCGTTGACTGCTTCTTCTGTGTCCTTCAGTCCTTGGTGGCCAGATTCACAAAGTTCTCTCTGAATCCTCCTGTCTCACGACCAGGAATCCTCAGATCCACCAGTCCAATGTTCAGTGCATCTCCTCTAGAAGTGAGGAGAAAATCCCAAAGCTTTTCTTATAACATGCATTTGTCTCCTCAGCGCCGTGGATTTGTGGTAGAAACTGTAGGCTCTGAGTTCTCCAGCACAGTTCAAACTTTTAAAGAAATTATTTTATTAGGGGCTCATGCAACACTTATCACAATCCATACATACATCAGTTGTGTCAAGCACATTTGTACATCTATTGCCCTCATCATTCTCAAAACATTTGCTCTCCCCCTAAGCCCCTGGCCTCAACTCCTCATACAGTTCAAACGTTGTCAGTACTCCACCCTACCTCTCACCCCCCACCCGGATCTGGTTTCCAAAATTGTCTGTCATTTTGTTTTGTTCTGTTTGGTTTCTGTGTGTTTCTAGTGGGGCATATCTCAGAAGTGTTACGTCAATGGAGGTGGGTTTCGGTCTGTGAAACCCAAGATTATTGAACCTATGGGGACAGCAAGTAGAATAAGGGTTTGCGGTGGGGAGGGGTGCAAAAGGGAGATGAGGTCAAGGAGTCCATGTAGAAAATGAAGGCATATACATATGTAAATATATTTATATATGAGGATGGGGAAATAGATCTATGTGCATATATGTATAGGTTTAGTATTCAGGTAGCAGATGGACAT